TATTGCACCCTCAAAATTAATAAGAAAATAAAGTTCTTCATTATAAACAAACATAGATGCTTTCTCCTTGTACTCAAAATTAAGTTGTCTGTTTTTTCCAATAACTACCAAGTGTGGAAAAACTTTGTGGCTTTTTTACTGGTGAGAAATCTGTATTTGAGGTAAATAGGTTGGGGCTGAAAATGTATTTTGCATCAGCACTTTTTATGTGGAATTGTAACTGGTAAATTCACCATGAATTGTCAAATGGATAACCTAGCAGGAGATATGAGGATTTGTGCTCCCAACTAAGATCTTTATTATCTTTTAAATATAGATGCTAAAAGATGTTTTTCACCATTACATTTCTGCCAAAGGGAGTTTGTATTGCTTTACCAGTTTGTGTAATCCTCTAACGTATCACAGTATTTAGGGGTGAGTCATGCTAAATCAAGGCTGTGTCAGTATCTGTTCTTAGGCATTATTTTGAATTGGTGTCTTTGGTTGAGATCTTACTAGAGCTCTAGATCCAGAATGCAAAGAATCACAACTGCAACTCCTGAGCATCTCTGCTATGAGGACATTTGACCTGCATAACACTTGTTTCACCATTTATGATACAATGGAGAAGTCATGGCACATCTGTTAGCCAACATCAAGATACGAGTTGACTGCTTGGCAGTTTGTGTGTGTGTGTTTGTGTGCGCGGTGCTGATTCGTATCTGATTGTGCAATATGCAGCGAGGTCGATACACGCACGACGCACACAAACACGAGCACAGGCAGACACAGCAACATGCCCATCCCTGTGTGCAGCTGCTGCACTGTTCAGCTGTCAGAGTGGAAAATTTGAGGTGTGTTTTTGTGTGTACATTGAGAGTTGGGAGTGGCGCGGGGCTGGGGCAAACAATTGCTTTTCAAATCTGCACCTGTACCTCTGCTATAGTTGTTTGTGTCTTTATGTCTCTGTTTTCCCCATACATAATCAAAATTGTCTGTCTGTATTAGAGCAGCTGCTTGGTTGTGCTGGCTATGGTAGAGTTTGGTCTGTGAGCCTTTGAGGTTGAGGTGTTTTGCAGTTTTATTGCAGCAGATATATGCAATAGCATTTTCATTTATATAACAGCACTTCTTATATGCTTGATAAGAAAACTCCATGTGCGTCACTGTACACATTATCTTTAAATAGAACATTAATTTTGTATGAGCGGGCACACTAATGTCCCTTGTGCTTTAAAAGAAATAAATTCACAGCTGTGTGCCCTTTTATTAAATGCTACTGCATTTATGTCCATTCTTCTATTTTATCTGCCTTGTAGGCTTTGAAACCATTGTAAACTAACTCTTGAAGTTGACCTCATGCCAGTGCAAGTGTGCTTGTGATGTGTCCCAGTGCTTCTGCAAGTATGCACATGGTATGCTGCAATATGCTGAAGTGTTGGCCTCCATCTGACCGCAGAGGGAGTGGCTCGGGATAGAGAGGATGCTACAGGAGGATGAAGAGAGAGAGGGACAGGGGGGCATAGAAAGAATGGTGTGTGTGTTTATTCAGGGGTGAGAGAAGCTTGGAGAGTAGTACTGGCAGGTCCTGTCCTTCATTTAGAAGAGATTGCTTCTCTGGCTCAACACTCACCACTCCTTTCTGCAGTTATCTCCATGGCCACGTCTAACTTGGCTGATGTCATGCATAATACATTAAAACTCAACAGTGCAGTGCGTGTTTTTTTTGTTTCTTTCTCCCTACCCCTGATGTCAGGGAGCGAGTCAGCAGGCAACAGTTAATTGGTTGCTTATAAACTTAAAATGTATTGCCCCGTTGATTAAAAATGTAACTACAGATGATTTGTCTCTGAAATGCATATTTTATATATCTACTTTGCAAACCCAAAAGTTGTGAAGAGAAGAGAATTGAAATGGGACACCGTTACAACAAACACATTTGACAAAACTTTGTAAAACACAAACAAAAGCTAGGCTGGAAAATGTAAATGAACTGTTGAATTTAGTAACTCATACAGCCACAACAAAAACCCTCAGATTATCCTGCAGCTACTTATGAGTAACAGGACAGAGATGAGGAAGACGTGAGGACGGTTCCTCACTACAAATCGAGTGCGTTAATTAATAATTCTGGGATGTTTTGGTTGAACAGCCCTCTTCGTGTTATGTCACAAGTAGCTAAGGGATTTGTTCTAAAATTATCCTTTTAATTTATTATTAACTTTCTTGTGTGCTCTGTAACCCTGTCTTTCGTTGCCTTAAACTCAGGTCATGGTCTTGTGTCGTGACATTCCATTGAAAAAAAAAAATTCTTCTTCCAGTTTGGAAGTCCCTTAGGTTTTTGCCAGAAAGTTTAACTTTGATCTCACATGTCCACAGAATATTATCTAGCAACATTATCCAGCAAGTCTTGTGAAATATCTGGAGAGTCTTTTCAGATGTGCTGCGATGTCCTGATATGAACACCATTCTTATTCAGTGTTTCTTCTTATTGTGGACAAGTTGTCGAGATTTGTGCTGTTGTTCTGCTGTTACCTTTTGGTCTTTTTTTCACCTAATTTGGGATTATTTTTGGTGTGCTCTTTACAGGACGCCCATTCCCAGGTAGTGGACCTGAATTCTAGCCATTTGTAAATGCTTCTAGCCTGAAAATGTAGTAGCAATCTTGCCATGGTTCACATCAACTGATCTCTCTCGAAAAGACACGGCTTTGACAGTAATCAGACTTTGTATGCCTTTATTTATAGGGAGTGACACCTCTTAAGCCACACTTACAATCTCATCTCCTTAATTGGAACACCTGACACCAAGTAGGTTTAGGCAAAGTCAGTGGCACAAAAGTGTACCGTGTGGAATTTCTCAGTGTGTTTTATCATATTGCATTTGTCTCCGGTTTGAAGGCCGCGTTTTATGACTAATCAATGTAGAAATCCTGATCATTCCTTATGGGTCACCAATGTTTCTGGCACCTTAAAGATAGCAAATGCTTAAACTTCTTTTCAACCGTTAACACCTCAAAACACCTGAAAGTTGTTTTGTTCACTGGCCTAGATTACTATTCAGCACCACTTTAACGCACTCCCACTATATGCAAGCTCATGATCACTTACATTTCTGAATATGTAGATAAAACCCACCAAGTAATTGAGTGGGAGTAGTTTTTGCAGTGGTTGCCAAGTTAGTAATGTCTGGTTTCCATTACACATCATCTTATAAAGGCTGAAATTAAGCTAAATAGTGTAATGTTAATCAAACACTCATTTTCTTTAGTAATGTTGAATGAATTTGCAGTTTGTTCTTGGAGAAAATGACTTTGTCTGTTGGTTGTAAAACATCCCAAAGTGACATTTTGTAGAAATCTTGTATGTACACTCATAAATGGACATATGAAATTAATCAACTGTTCAGCGGCGAAACACAGACACACTGTCAGCAGATATTGGGTGTCTTGTTATTGGCATGAAATTACACAGGAAATGATGCCCCTTGGTTTGGAACAGGGTTTCCTCTCCATGTGTGCCTTTGTGTGACTGCAAGCTTGCAAACAGCATTTTCTTGTGTTTCACATATCAGCGAAATGCTCGGTTGCTATTATCATCTATCATAGTAGTCCCAAAATAGTGCAGATTATTGTTCTAGAAGCCTCGCTGACCCAGTTTAATGTGTGTGTCTGTGCGTGGCTGCAGTGTTTGTTTATTTCTGAGAGCGGTCGACCTTCCTGTCACTTTGTTTGGTGTGGTGAGAGGTGGGAGTTGAGGGAGATTGCAGCAAGTGCCTACCAGTAGCAAAGAGGGACTAACAATGAACTGTGCGAGTGAGGAAGGTGCCTGTGGTTTGCTGTGTTTCTCATGTCTTATTCTTTACAGCTGTAAAGGGGGTCAGCACGTCCACTGCAGTTGTGTGCCTATCTGGTTGGCTGGCTGGCTGTCTTGACTTGACTGACTTGCCTGGAAGGATATAAATAGCAGTCTTTGAATAGGATAACTGCAGAGCGAAGGGAAGAAGGGTGGGGGGAGGGGAGTGGAGTGGAGATGGAAGTGGCGCCAGGGAAGATAGGAGTGCCAGTGTCTCAAAGTAGAGGGAAAAAATAATGCAGCCATGGCCTCATCTGTTCACTCACTCAGTCAGTCACAGGGATGATCACATTTGGACGCACTCTTTAGAGAAAGTACATTACAGAGGAGAGAATTGAGGAAAGGAATGTATGATTAATTCATGGCCCTGTGAAGCAGGCGGCCATGAAGGAAAGGCAGTGGATAGTAATGCACATATTGTTGTGTACTTGCACGTAAGGCAAAGTAGACACTAAGAACACAGAGGACAATAAACTGTACAGAACTCTCATGATTTATTGTGAATTTACAATAAAACCACTTATACCAGAGATGATTGTTTTTGTTGTTGTTGCTGTAATACAATGGATCACCTTCCTTAGTCACTATGGCAAGGATGCCATAAATTAGTACAGGGTAAAGCCCACAATTACAAGGGCTGGCTAGCTTTGGCGGTAAGTAGCTGTTTGGGTTTTTGTTGAGACGTGCCGGTTAAATTTCTAAAGACATTCCTCAGCTGTTCCAAGGCCCACAACATGTGCGTTATGCAATATCTTGGACATAGTCTGCCCTGTTGTCATTCCCAAATTCTAGTATGTCAGCACTTAAGATGTAGCTGATATGAATAGCATGCCTCTGTTAAAAGTAATTGTACTTTGATTGGGTTTACACTTAACAGAAATTTCTAACAACTTTTTTTAAGTATTCAGGCGGCTCTTACTGCTCTTTGGGTTCTGCCTGGTGAACAGATAAGCCCTTTGCCTGCCACAGCTGCAGCTCCCCTCCCTCTTTAAATGCTCTTCCTCCAGAGCCAGGGGTGTAATGGTTGAAAGTGGAGTGCTTGATGTACCACTAATGGCTGCATCGTCTGGCAGTGTGTAAATGTGTTTTCAATGAAACGTCAGGTGCTAAACTCCCCCTCCCCTCCATCCACACACCATTTTGTTTTTCTCTTTGTTCCAGACGGTTGATGACGATGCAATGGCAGCGTGAATGAAGCTTGGCGTGGGGAGAGCTGAACGATGCCCAAAGGTGGGGGTTCTAAAACCCCCCAGCTGGACCACTTCCCACTCAACACCGACATGGTGGAAAAGCAAGGTGGGAAAAAGGTAAGATTGAAAAGCATACAGTAAACACAGTGCACAGCAACAAAGCCTGTTTCACTTGGAGAAACATGAGTTAAAGTAATGACAAAATTAGTTTTAGATTGGGGTTTAGATCATCATTGAACTGAATGACAAAGACACGTGGTCTTCAGCAGAAATCATTTACTCCCTTTAAACAGCACTTTCTGACCTTTTGGTCATAAACCTGAGACGCTCACATCAGTTTAGTTATTTAGTAATTACCAGTTTATCTCTGTAAGCTTGACAGTTCCTTACGCAACATCAAAAAGATTTCTGTCCCAAACTAATGTTGTTGTTTACCAGTCACACCATGCTTTGCATTGGCTCTGTGGACCAGCTGGAGGCAGGTTCTGACTTGTCAGCTTACAGATCTCATCTCAAATGTACTGTGGAGTAGAGCAATGTATGTGTTGCATCACTATGCAATTTATAGGTATTTACTTTTAGTTTAACAACCAAAGTAATGAGTAGAATGTAGTGTGTAAATGAAATAATTAAAAAGAGTAAGATTCTTCTTTGCACATTTGATTGTATGGTAAGCTCTGTCCCAGCTCATTCCATGGAAATATAAATATTGATGTATGTTTCTAGGGGTGTGCTGTTCCCATATTTCAGACTGGTTTTTGGTGGTCTTGTTCAGGCTTTGCTTTGCCACACCTCAGCTGTAGCGTGTTGGTTGCTAGCCAGAGTGAATTTAAAAGCAAAGCAATATGGTTTAGAAGTATTTTACACTTGCTACACCAATAGTTGTTGTTGTTTTGGGGGTTTTGTTTTTTTTTTTTATAAATGTTTGCAAAAGTTTTTTAGTTAACCACAAACGGGTCAAGTGAGTTGATACAGCTAAAAATTTGTCTTTAGTTCAATCAAAGAGACATCATAAAAATTGCTTCATTTAAGCCGTATCCTGTCAGCCTCATGGTAAGCACATGTATGTGCAGGAAGACGAGCAACCAGTGCAGCTGTAAGAGCATTATGCAGCAACCTAATGGGATTAGTGCAAAAAATTTAAAAGAACGACCCAAATACATTTTTATTTTTCATTTGATTTATCTCTTTGCTGTTTTACTGTTGTTGTTTGTTATTTCACTAAAAACAGCCAATTCAGCTAATTTATAGTTGCGGATGTATTTATTTGTTGCATTTAATTTTTCTAAGTCGGAAAAGATAGCGTTGACTCAAGACTGATGTTGCCTTACACATATAGATCCCCAGTTGTTTCCCAAGTATAAAAATACAGTGTAATAATTCAACACACTCACTGGATCGCTACTAGGTATCAGCAGATACCCAAAGCCAGGGTACTGTAGAAGAACGTAAGATATCTGATTGGTTTTTATTCTGTTTTTTGCAAATGTCATTTGACTCCATGACATGGAAATGGGGCAAAAGTGAAACCTGTGCATAGTTATGCACTGTCCCCTCTCTGACAACATGGGCTATCAAAATAGGTATGTTCAAATCACATGGATGCATAAGTACTGGTATGTGCAAAAGTTAAATCAAACAGAAAAATGGGAATGAAGCAGATTTTTTTTTTTTTAATTTGAGAAGTTCATGTGTGCATGTGATGCAGTTCTGGACTTCAGACTTCTCTCTAACCTTTCTGTGCATACATTATAATGTATGTTAATAAGGTGATGCTCTTTAGGTTGGGCTTTTCCCATCAGTGCAGTGTTTTACATCTTGAGCTTGTTAGAACACTAAAGTCAGTCTGGGATGACATAAATGGGATGTCCTAAATCCACTGAGGAACAGTTGCAGGTTTTTCAAGAAAAACCTCCCTGACGAGTACCTTTTAAAATACAAAAATAAAATTAAATAAAATTTCTTTCTCAAACTCACTTTAGCTTACTGCCTAAAATGTTTAAGTGTTACTATATATCAGGCGTAGGAAGCTTACTATAAGGCATCAAATCTCTGTCTGTCTTCTTTTGCACAATCAGGAGTTCAGCAACGAAACCTGCAACACAGATGAACGTTAATCTGCATCCACACTGTTCACTAAAACTTTGAAATTGGTGCTTAGTTCCCTTGATAACCCTATATGTTTTTACTACCAGGTCATATGTTAAACACCAGTTTGTTTTACTCTCATTAGTAGTTGCTTGACTCACTTGCCTTGAAGTTGAAAATGGTTTATCTCAGGTCCCTGCCAGTGGTTATTTCTTTATTGCATATTATGACATTAACATGCTACCTAGTAACCACTTACCAACAGGCTAAAACAACCCTTTTTAAGATCATATGTAACACCTAATAAAAGTATCCCATTATTTTTAATTTCATAACGGTAACATCTAATTTATTGCCACAAAGCATTACACTCATGTTACTTGGTTTGGCAACCAAACAACAGACTAAAATCACAGACCAAACCATACTGTAGCTTGGGCACCAGCATGTACTAGTCATCAACTCATGATAGGTTGCGATTCCCCCTCCCTGACTTTTTTCTTGTTGATGTTGGTTAATGTCTCTTTACTTGACTTGTACAGATTTTATAAGTGTCGCCACAATAAGTGGTGTAAAGTTGTGATTTAGTAGGGGAATCTATATAGACTGCATGCTTACTTTAATAAAAAATTTGCATTTGGTATGTGTACTGTATTGCAAGACAAATGATACAATATTTTGTGGTATGAATACTTTATTCCACCAGTCCTGCATATTTGCTATATTTTGTTTTCTTCTTGCCACATCTTCGACTGAGCTATTATTTAATACAACATACCTGCGCAGGTCTTTGTACTTGCGTAATCTTCTTACTCTCAGTTGTATCTTGTAGTTATTAATGATTGATAAACAGCTCGACGGAGATTCCTTTTAATTAAACTATAGTTCTTGCATTTGACTTCAGCACAAATGCTTAATCAAATAATGGACTATTGCATAATAGACTTGGGTTCAGTGTTTGTTGTCTTAAAAAGCCCTAAGTCACATGTCTGAAGTGCTTTTGAATTGGTGTCACCTTATTGCCCAGTTATGGCGTATTCACTACCTTGAATTTGACACAGATACTGTCGTCACTGTTTGTGTTGGAACAAAGTTTTGGGCGCAGCTTGATGATGTCATGTGTGTACTAACTGTTCAGCTACCAGCAGCAGCTCTGAGAGGTGTAGAAAGCAGAGGTACAGCTTATGCAGGCATGGATTTACAACCCTCTGCAAAGGATTGCATCAGACTCTGGTATGGAGGGAGGGAGGGAAAGAAGCAAACAGGGGTGGGTGGAAAACTGAGTGAGACGAAGAGAGCACGCATTGCTAGGAGACCACCAAACAGGGTGTCGTGTGAAGGCAGATCAGAGGAAAGTCTTGAGTTGTCAAAGCTTTGCTTACACTTAATTCTCCAAAATCAACCCGGTTGAACTTTAGAGATTTGAGTTGGTGAATTGACCATTTTTCCCCAGTCCAGTTAACCAGAGCTATATGATGGTTCTTTTGTTTGTTTGTTTGCTTTAAGAAATAATTCATAGTGTTTTCCATGCTTAAGATGTACTGTAGCTTTAAACGTATGCATCATAATTTCGCTCAAATGGTGTGTTCTCTCTTTGTGGGAGTGAGCAGGGATGCAGACGGGCAGACAGAAAGATCAGCTCATTGTAGCTGACACTGTTTGTCTCTACTGTACCATGACATCATGGTCTTATGACTGGGGCAGGGCAGGGGGAGGAGTTCAAAGAGTTGATACATAATAGAAAACCTGCCCTCAGGATAGAGATAGATGAGCAGGGTACAGAAGATAGGACAGAGAAATTAGGTGAATTAAAGCGTCTGTTTGTACGTTATCTCACCTCTGTCTTGCATCTTACGTTATGAGTCCTTAAACCTGTGTAGTTAACAGAGTCGTCAAATGATTAGATCCTTCCTGTAGAAGTTTTGCTTGAGCATTTGTATAGGGAGTTATAGGGAGCTATAGTGGACTGATTTTTTTTATTTTTCACTCTGTGCTGAATCCTGTGTATGCTTTTTGTTTTTTTGTTTTTGAACGCTTAATCACAGATGGTGTCGTCTGAATCATACATGGAGTCATTGCTGAAATTCCAGTATTGACTACTGTATTGTAAGAGAGTACATTTAGACTTTCACGATACCGACCAGAACCTTACATGACAAATAATGTAATTATGAAAAACACTTTTCTTTTTAGGTAATATCATTTATTTTAAAAAAAAGATCCTTTAAAAGCATGGTATCCTTTTAATGCCACAACAATGTCCCATTTTTAGCATATAAACAGTATCAGCTCTCTTTTGTTTCATTTTATTTTTGTTGTTGTTTATGGACTGATTCTTATAGCGCTTTTCTACTCTCCTGGAGTACTCAAAGTGCTCTGTACAACACGCTGCATTCACCCATACACACCCTTTCACCCAAGCACTGTAATCTATACTGTCAGTGCATTACTGTCCTTCATACGTGTTCATACTCCGATGGATGCATTGGAGAGCAAGTCGGGGTTAGTATCTTGCCCAAGGATATTTGGCATGCATACTGGGGGAGCCAGGGATCGAACCACCAACCTTCCAATCAGCAGCTGACTTCCTCTACCTCCTTAGCATAAGCATGTAGTACATTAAATATAGAAACCTAAATACATGAGTCATGACTTAAATCCCTGATAAACCCACCACAGTGGTCGCAATGATCACGGCCCCAATCTTGTCTCACAGTCACTCACATTTATACCCACCGTTAAGGCGCAGGAAACCACTGCAGTATTCTCCTGAGCGATAGGTGTCACCACTCAGACAATATCGCCACAGAAGAAGAAGTCAAAGACTTTGTCGGGTGTTGTTTTGCAAAGGTTTTTCCACACAATCGTACACTCGTGTCTTCAACCCAGCTGCGGCAGCCACGGCACAACGTGCCAGGTTACAAAGATCTTGAGGTGCACAAATGGCCAAAGCGCTGCAAAGTGTCACACAACACACTATGTGATGTCAAAATCAGCACGCAAAATATCAAGCATAATAGGTCCATTACTGGGGGACACGTTAAAAAAATTTTTTGTTACACAGATGCAACACTTGTCTTTTAATATTGTGTTTTTGTCATCTACAAATATCTCTAAGTGTCCACTTTGAATTGATTCCTAATGTATTGCAATTAGGAATGCAGCGTATGGCTTTGTATAGCTTTGACTTCATATATTTGCTCAGTGAGAAGCTACTGCTTTCCTCTTTAAAAATAATTCTGTGTTGAATTCTGTGTATTCTAGTTAAAAATGTATATAAATTAATAATGAATAATTGTTAGTAGCTCGTTGTAAGAGATACAAACCCAGCTTCAGTTCCATTCCCAAGCCTGGATAAATGAAACGGCTGCATTAGGAAGGGCATCCAGCGTAAAATCTGTGCCAAGTCACATATGTGCATCCATCAGCTGTGGCGACTCCTTAAGAAAGGGACCAACATAAAGTAGCTTTAATAATGAATAATTATTTACTGCTACCACACAAGAAACTATTATGAAGATGACATCATAAACAACTTGTAGACATCTTCCACTGTTTGTGGTCTGTGGGGGTCTTTTTGTTTGTTTTTAAAAAAGGTATTCTGGATAAATTAGTTTGCATGAGCACCCAAAAACAGAACAACCGTTAAGTTAAGCTGGGCAAACACATAAGCATTTACATCTGTTGATAGCAGATACACAGGGGTTTGTGATTGTTTCCAGCAGCTGTAGACCACAGAGCCAAGCCGGCGTCAGCTTAGCCTCCTCTCCCTGTGCCTGGCTCTTTTACTGTGGCCAGGAATCTAGGAGGAAACTCTGGAAAAAATTTTGCTTTCAGAAGCCCTTAATAGCTAGAAGAGTCAGGCCAGTGAATTCAGTACGAAGGTATAGCCAGAGACATTATGAAAGAGGGACACGGCGACTTAAAAATATGGTGGTAGATGTATAACCTCCAGGGGGGGGAAAGCTTTTTATAAACGGAGTTTGCGGTCAGCAAACTTGTGCAGTCTTTTATCAGATGTTATTTCCTGGTGACCATTGAAATTAAAGTTAATTTAATTAATGCTTCAAAATGTGCCTGAGGGTGTTTTCAAGGTGGCAGCTGAGTCAGGAATTGCTTCTAGGACTTTAAAGTAAGGTAGACAAATAAAGTGCACTGCTCTGATGAAGACACTTGCTCACCCCAGTGTTTTGTTGCTTTCACAGGATAAGGTGTTATCAAACAAGACTCCCAAATTGGATCGCAATGATGGGGTCAAAGAGATGAAAGAAAAGGCCTCTAAAAGGAAGCTGCCCTTCACTGCTGGAGCAAATGGAGACCAGAAAGATTCTGACTCAGGTAAGGCTGTATTGCTGTGTGTTTACGCTCATGTTTCTGCATCTTGATCACCTTGTGACTTTGTACAGACTCAACTGGTTCTTATATAGCGCTTTTCTACTCTACCTGAGCACTCAGTGCGGAATTCAAAGAGAACGGAGAGTAGTTAGCACTGGTGTGCGAACAGGGCTTGACCTATGTGAAGTGAAAGTGCTCCCAACTTTGAATTAGCTGGTTGTTTGAGAATCAAGGAGTTTGTACCTACAATCATAGTCTAAAAGGAGAGGAAGACCACACAAAATCATGATCCAATTAAGTGGGGATTTGGGCAACATACAAGCCTGACCAGGCCTGGGTTTGGTAAGGCTCCAGCTGTTTTCTTTTAATTAGGGAGAGAAGGACTAGTCCTCACGCTTGTTTGACTTTGGGCTTTAAGGGTTCAGGATTTAGTTTGTTGATAATGGTCCAGCTTAGAGGCTTTGGTAACAGTCTTCATCAGCACTGGGTGAGTTGCTAAATTGGTTCATGTTCAGTGTTTACACTTGAGGAAAAAACCTTTCCTCTCCACACACAAGAGGAAAACTACAAGTATGCAACAGATGACTGTTAGGGCATGAGGATGTGTTTAGCAAGATTGGACAAGTATTTTGTAAACACATAATGTTGTATGTGATTACTCCTCAACTTAAGCAAATTATAAATAAATTAAAAAGTTTGAGAGGCTGTAATATGTCTTAAATCTCTGGACATTTGTGTATGTGTTCTTCACTTCCATTTAAGTTGCAAGATTATTTCATGTTCTTCTTCACAAATGTTTACTTGTTGTGCATTAATATTCTAATCTCTTCTGCTGAATTCATTTTATTTATCCATTAGTTTTTTTTATCTTGAGATAATCTTCACCCTACCTTAATCACACGAGATGCGAAATCTAAAGACGGGAACATTAGCTGGAAATTCTTTTAGTATACTAATAGTTTCATGTTGTCTTCCAGCGCCTTGCCTTTCTTTGTAGAAGATTAGCTGGCTCCTGGCATTGCACGCTTTCCAGTCACATGAGAAGTTTATTAGGTTGCATTGTGTCATAGCGACAGACCTATTTTTGTTAGCGGTAGCTACCCAGGTAGTATATGGGGGCAGTAAAATGTGTGTTGTTAACCTGGACTTCCACCTGCATGAAAATTGGTGTTTTTACATATGTGTGTTTTGTAGTCTGTGGCCTTTCAATTGACCCTACTGGGACTGTTTTTAACCTCTCTGCAAAGTTTTACACCTCGGACACGTCACAGCCCCCCCCCCCCTCTAATCTGTGCCTCTCTTCCAATGCTCATTTCCTTTGTGGCTTGCACACTGGTGTCGGATAAATATAGCTGTTTAGAGAGCACGATTAATACATTTTTTAAAATTCGTACAGTATACCCTTCCATTATATTCCAATCAAAATTATATCACCCAGTATGGGTCTTTTTTAGGGCTGCCACAAACAATTATTTTGATAGTCGACTAGTCACCGATTATTTTTGCGATTAGTCGACTAATCAGATCATCATCCATTGG